CGGCGTTGGAGACGGGGAACATTCCATCCGCCTTGCGCAAACCGTCAATGGGCGGCGCATCTCACTTTTGCGCCTCGCCAAGCGTATCTGGCTCGTGAAATTGCTGAAGGCCGTTCGCTACCTCAAACATGCGAGAGCCGTTCGGCGCCTCAAACGAATTTGCCGATCTGCTGGATCGCCGCCGGATCCAGAACATTCAGAGAAAGATATCAAAGCTTTGGTCAGGATGAGCAACAGAAACAGTCGGGTTTCAGCCTCACGTAGTACTTCGACCTCGCCTGTCCTTGACCGACATTGTTCTGATTGGACTTTTTCAGGGAAAGGGGTCACCTCGAAGCACACGACCGGTACAGTGCTCCCTCCTCTTCCCATTTTACATCAGCGTAGCTCTTTATCTGCGCTCACCAGTGCGTGTTCAACCTCAGGGACCTCGAAAGGCGATCGTCGCACCTTATTCCGAGTGCGTTGGCAAGACGATGTGTCTGCTTCGAAAGACAATCGAGCCATCTGTTCCGAAGTACCAGTCCGACCCTGGCATAGCAACTTTCGGCCGTCGGTGGGAGCTTCAAACCGACAGCGCAGTGCTCGCAACTCGCCATGGGTATCGGACCTTCAAATGTGGGGCGGTCTTGAGGACTTTGAACCCAACGAACATTTACGCTTCCATACGTTCGTGAGCGAGAAGCCTGCACACCTTGACACGCGCATCAACGATGTTGTCACAAGCTTGGCCGATTCCATTGGCTCGACGACGAATACAACGGCGGTCATTAGCAGTACTGGTGATGACCCAGGTCGTTTTCGCTCCGACATTTGTCATTCCACTGGCTTCCATTCCCCTATTGCGCACCTCACTTTGGATCCCAAAGCTTTTGACATCTTCTCTGAAGACAGTGTCGCCACCTGGGCCTGATAGTCACCGCCGTCTTTCGCTGTGTATCGCGCTTCTCACTTCTCTCCAGGTTGCGATGCCTTTCAATCCAATTGAAGGGCCTCGTCGGTACGGCCCCAAGTCACGCTGCGTGCGATGGTATGGTGGGTAGACGTGCCTTGGCCTGAAAGGCTCTCAAGCGTCATGCTCCCCGATAAATCCGTTGGTAGGGAGAATTGCTAAATGCACGAGTCCAAGTGTCGATCAGTCTCCGGACTGCTGAGTGCGTCGATGCGTCTCTGTATGCAGCAGAGCCGGCTGCGGAGCCGTGATCCTTTGTTGCACGCCATCACGACCACGTGAAGCGTGCTTGCTATTGAACAACTCACAGCGCAAGGACGGGAATCGGATAGTTGGACTTGAGCAATCACGAAGCGGTGACTGGGGCGTGGTGAATGGCAGCCGCGGGGAGCTGCACAGCAACCCCGTAGGGCGTGGAAGCAGCTTCTTGAGCAAACCATGCTGTGCGAGCGGCCATAGCTGGCCCACAGCAGCCATATGAGCGCAGCCACTCGATCGCGAGCCGTATTTGCAGCGGCGAGCACTAATGCACGAGTGAGACAATCAACTCCAGACGAACGTGTCTGCCGGTGAGCGGTTACATGAGGCTTCGATTAGGAGCGATGAGGTATCTGTAGCTCAACAACTGATTGTTGGCCGCCTACGTCGAATGCCTGTCCAGGATCTGGGCAGGCTGGGCGCTTCCGCAGCTAAGCTTCAAGAGGGCCAAGCTTCTCTCTCTGACTTCGGGACGCGGAGTCCGGATGGCATGAACGGGATGTGAACGAGCACAAAGGGCTCGGGACCACAACTTTGGTACAAAGCTCCGACGCTTCGGAACCGCCAATCAATCACCAGACTGACTGTCTGTGATAACAAGCACGTGGACGTCTTCTTGGATTCACTCGTCAAATTGCATATGAGAAAGGTCCGTACCGCGCCTAAACGACGCATGCTCATCAACATCACTCTCCTTTGAGGAGCTGCGCCGGTCCTCGACGAAGTGAGTGGCCCCTTAGGGTTACAGAGACTTACAGTATTCGTCGCATGTATTTGTTGCCTTTGCGTCTTGACACATCCACATTGTCGTCCGACTCGATCTTGTCTCGGCCAGGCAGATAAGCTGGTGATTGCCTCCCAGCCGCACTTGTTTTCGGAAGCATGCATGCCAGAGCAAGACCTGTGGATGTGGCTGGACTCTTGAAGAAGTCCTCTATGGTCGCGCTTCCATGCAGCGGATCGCGGCCCCCCGCGAGACTCGTGACGTGCATACCAACAGTAGCCCATCGCGGCCCGTCCGGGCCCACAAGTGCAGCCCATACTTGCAAAGCAAGATCCGTCGATCCATAAACACCTACCTACCCAGCAACATGGCGCACCACATCGTGGTTGAGCCCGAGGCGAGGCAAGGGCCGGTCACAGTTCCTACGTGTCTGTGAGATGCTTTGCAATGTCAGTCTTAACGACATTCTGATTGGTGACACTCGTCCTCTTCGACAGGCGGGCGACATGCGGTAGCTCAGACAAAAGCTTTGGTACTCCGCCAAAGTCACAGCAAGACGTGAGTCGGACGTTGCAAACAAAGTCACAGTGTCGTTCCCGCACCGACTCTGGCTGCCTGCCGGCAGAGCGCAGGCACAGATGGCAGGGCGCTACCGTGCCTGCCACGCGTGTCTGCTGATCTAGATGTGACCAAGACCACACATGGAGGAGCGACCGCGCGCCTTATTGGCGGGCTGCCAACAACGGCTTGAGCAAGCACTGCTGAAGCTTCAACACTAAGGCCTCTCAAGAGGCCATTTGGCGCCAACGCACGCGTGCGCTTGAGTGGGGTCAAATAGCCTCCGACACCGCTTATGTACGCGAACTCGGCAGTAGTAGTATTGGTCGCACGCTGCCAGAACTTCATGATACGTACATATGCGTTCTGTGGATGCCGCGTCGGGCTGCGTGCAGTCGCGGGCCAGCTCTTGATCCGCGTTGCTGTCGCCATGGTTTCTGAGGGCGAAAATCGGACTACTTGCGCTCGGCACTGCTGCTGCTCACCGCTCCAGCGAAGTGCTGTCCATCCTCAAGGTGTTCCAAACTCACTGCGCGGAGTCTGGCCCAGTACTCCAGAAGCAGCGCCGAGGCTCCGATTCGCCGGACGTCGCACAGCTTACGCTTGGCCGCAGCGGCGGCATAAAAGCTGCCAAGTAGCTAGCTGCTGTTGGCGCCGAAAGGGGTGAAAGGTCGTTCAGGCACAGAAGCGGTCCTTCCCATAATGTGGGGGTTGCCCCAGCTGGCATCCCCCAAAACTTTCCGACTTGGAATGATGTCGTCCGAGTGCGGGCGACCCTCATGGGACGAATGAGGCATCACTCTTTGGCCCTTGCGCTGCGACGGTGTATGCGAGCTACATGCGGTCCTCTTCTGGTCGTACATACTCTACGGGGCGACTGTGATTTTCAGGCACCGCGCTTCCAAAGTTTAGCGCAATTAGTTGTCATGCCGGCCTTGCGCCTAGGTTGCAAATACGATTCATGTCGCTGTCCGATGTTTATAGCTCGGAGTCTCTCCCTCCCTCTAGCCGAGTATGACCAAGCATCGGTGCTCTATCTCAATCGTGAATGCTCGTGCCACATATCAGCCCGGACGAGCGTAGCACGCGACGTTGGTTGCGCTGCACC